TTATTTACAATAACACTGGGTTGATTCATACTATTTGCTTCGGGGTTAGTTACTAATTCATTTAGTTGTCCAACTACTGAATTCTTATTCTAAAAAGGGTAGAAAAATATATAAAGCTCCCACATACAAGGAGACTAGACCCTCAAAGGCATCCTAGAAATCCATATTTAAAAATCATAAACCAGAAAATATCATTCCCTGAATTAAATTTTGTTACATAATGAATACAAAATATGATGGTTCAGTCATTGAATGAATTCCAAAATAAAAAAATGAGCCAGAATAGACTTTGATGAAGACTGACAGTGAGAAATTCACTGTCCAATTAATATTCAGATTTCACTCTTCACTCCAGCTTACCACTCCCTTTTCATAAGGCAGCTTGTCTAGGTACGGGCTACCAAGGATCAATTGTTGTGAATTTCAGATGTTCAGCAAGCTGTCAGAGGCTGCTTAGACGTTTCCAAGGAAACAGCTTTGCTTATCAGCAGTGTCTCCACAAAAGAACCAACTTTTAATACACTATTTCCTAGACATAGAAGCAATCAGGGAACTTCTACTCCTGAAAAACACACAAACCTTGTAGACAAAATAAAGGCAGCTCACAGTCTTCTTAATTGGAAAGATAGTCCAAAATATTTTAAATTTATTTTCCTTTATTTTCAGTGGAAAGGAAGGACATATGATAAAACTTAAAATATTGAATGATCTAGTTCAGCACAACTTACGAATTTATTGCTCTCCTGTACTATAACATTATTTTAAGCAAGATTATTTTAGTATTTTATGTTTGAAATTTTATGATATATATGTTTTAATCTGTATAGCTGATCCCAGATGTAAGTGCAACTCTGTATGAAACTTGGGAGCAAAGTGAAACCTGGACTGTGATTCCGAGAATTTTGAAGCTTAGTAAAAGCTGAGAATGTATGTTCCTGTACAATGTCTAAAATTGCCAGTGTGGAAGAAAAATAAGTGGGTGCAGAGAAGAACTAACTGAATTAAATGCACTCTTCTGACAGTGAAAGGACACTATTTCACAGTCTGATAAGCCTTTAATAAGCACATTTCCCTGACAGCAAATCTGGTCAACAGTTGCCAGTGAGTGACTCCCCACAGAATTGCACAGGTGAACTGGCTATTTTTAAATCCATTGTGTGTGTGTTACAGATTGCTACCCAAAACCTGAGCATAAACTTGTAAAGAATGCCTTTCAGCCTATTGATTGCTTAACCTTCAAAATTACCTCTTGTTTCAGAGACTTCTAAATTTCTTCGCCTTTTCTTTGCCAGGAAATGCAGTAACAATCAACATGAAAGGGAAGAAAGCAAATAACATCAGTTTGGGAAGATGGTTTTAGACTGATTTTGTTTGCATTCTGATTGGTCCTAATGTTAGTCTACTGTTCAGATCATAGCAATAAAAATATGTTTATAATTATAATTTCCAGGAGTTTACAAAATAATATGAGAAATCAAACAATAAATGAAATTTTTAATTGAAACCTGCACTGTTTGGTTCAGTGAAGCATTGTTGTGAGTGTTATGATCAGAGAAAGTTTTCTAAAATAAGAAAGAGCTAAATAAAAGTAAACTTTGGGCTTAAGTAAACTTAAGACCAAGTAGTAATTGCCAGCAGGAAAGGAAAAAGGAAGGAAATTGGGAGAAAGAGGACAACAATATGGTGAAGGTTAGATTTAGATTTCCAGTGAGTACTTAAGGTAGTACACCTGCATGCTGATTCTCAATGAGGAACACCTGAAATGTACATACTGTTAGACTACAATGGTCCCTCAATTAAAAAATAAAAAAAAAGTGAACTTGGTAATGTGGCACCAGGATCAAAGATAACTGTGAAATTTATCTGTTACATTCACAACTTTGTTCTCAGAGATGAAATCTAACATTTAGGCACAGAAGGGTGAAAGCATGTTTGTCAATCGTTTGTGCAGGGAAAAAGCAGAGGTTTAATTTTATCACCAATGCAGTGATGGGGAACTACTGCAGGATTATTGCAGGGTATGTAAATCAGTGTGATGAACAGTTTGTGAATAATATCACTTCATTTAGTTAATCAGAAAATACTGCTTTAGTGCCTTTAATATGCCATCTTTGGCTTTAACGTTTGTGAGTTTAGTTTGGGCTTTGGAGTGACACTGCCTGTGTGTGTGTGTGTGTGTGTGTGTGTGTGTGTGTGTGTGTGTGTGTGTGGTAAAAACACAATGTGAGGCATATTCTTTCAGGTCTAGCAAGATGGTGACAGAGTGAAGACTCTAGAATCATCTCCTCCATATATTGAAAACCAGAATTTCTATTTGGTTCTTGTGCATACCTTCTATCTGTCTGTTGGTACTCTCATTTGTTATCTATTTTTTCCCCCTGAGATTATTTAGTTTTCTATGTCTTATAACCCACTGGGCTTCTTTCAAATGGTTATTTTGAAAATTTTTTTTCAGAAAACTCCTAAATCTGCATTCTTTAGGGTTACTTTCTGGATATTTATATTCCTTTAATTAGTTCTTGCTTCTCAGATTCTTTAAGTCCTGAGTATCAGGACATGATGAAAAGCCACCTCTGCCAGTCCTCATGGACAGACTTTGACCAGGCAACACCTTCACTAATCAGCCCAGCTAGAGATTCTGGGGCCCTCTCCCAGCTTTCCTGTGTTTTTGTATTTTTAGGTTTTGTGCATGTAGATTTCTCAATAGAGGGATTAACCCCTCCTTCCTTCCTTGAGTTTGTAATATTTATTTCCTCTGATGACTGAGTTTTGCATCATGGTTTGCTTATTTAATAGCACATGAAAGCTTACTGTGTTGGAAAGTACACTAATAACTGTACCCCCAAACTTGTTCCTCCTTCAGTGTCAATGACTGACATCATAATGCACTGGGTGGATAAGCCTTAGAAACGTAAGTATCACTCTTAGCATCTTTTTGCTTTAACTGCCACACAAGTCTTTCACAAAGTCTTATTAGTTTTACTTTCCAAACAACTTTCATATTTTTTGTTTTCTAACTGTAACATGGCTGCTTTGGTAAAGACACCAATACCTTACCTGAACTATTGCAAAATTTCCAAAAAGTTCTCTTTGCTTCTACTCTTCCCATGTAACTCATCAATTCTGAAATCAGAATTCAGAGTGACAAAAGGCATATGTAATCTTGTCACTTATTGGGAATTACCTGATATTATTATGATAAGACTTTCATCATTAACAGAATTCCAAATTCCCTTCCTGTGCTTCTAGACTGTGTTACTCTCTTTTTATACTCTGTGCTACAACCATCCTGGTCATGTTTCAGTTCCTCCAGCAAGAGGATATGATATGAGAACGTATCATATCCTTCATTCAGGAATGACTGTAAGTCCTTCAGTCTCAGCATAAAAGTGACTCCACAGGAAAGTTCCCCTGATACCTCAGTCTAGCTCAGGACCATATTCGTATTCTCAGCATACTTCATATTTATTTCTTAAGTTACTTATTGTCATTTTAAGAAAAGAATTATGTACTTGCCAGCTTAATATTATTGTTATGAATGTTTTTCCAGGTAGAAGGTAAGATCTAAGAGGGTAGATATCATGTCAATTTCATCTACACCATGTCTTCAAAATCACATAGTGTCTAGCAAAGAGGCTGCTCCTAATAGACATTCGTTGAATGAATGAATGAAGAAAGAAATGGGTGATGTGATATCTGAACTGAGTTTTGAAGAACATGTAGGAGTTAGCCATATGGCTGGGATGGGGAGGATAGCAGAGACATTGGGAGTAAAGAAACATCAGAAGGAGGAATGTGAGAGGTAGGAGGATGAGAATGGCAGGAGATGAGTTGGACTTTCAGCCAGAAGTAATGAAAAGTACTGCATGCTATTCTAAGACATATGGATTTTACCCCAATGATAGTTGGAAACTATAAAGGAAATTTAAATAGATAAATGTCTGGGTCAGATCTGAGTTATGGCATAAAACATTTAGCAGAAGTACAGTGAATGGATTGGAGAGAAGTAAATTTTGTGACAAGGACCAGGCAACAGTCTGCTAGACTAATTCACTTGAGAAGTGATGGTATCCTGATCTAAGGCAGTTGTGCAGGACAAAGAAGGGATGAATTGTGAAGATTATAAAGGCATTTAATTGAGATGACTTTATCACCAAGTGGAGAGTAACTGGGGATGGGTTATGGATTAATCCTTTGCTTTTCATTTTGCAACCCTGGGTGGATAGTGCTCATAGTCATAAAGATAGCAGATAATGTACAAGAGACAGATTTAGTCATGATGGCAAAATATTGATTTGCTTATTGTATTTTGTGTATGAAACACTTGAGAGCTGTCAGTGGAACTGCCTAGATGTGAGCACAGGAGGTAGCTGATAGCACAAGAGTAGACACACCTATCTAGGGAACAAGGTGGAGCTTTATTTTATAGTTGAAGAAGTCTTTGAGAGGCCAGTAAAAATTTTTCAGTTTGAGTTTGTGAGCATCCACAAAGTTTGGTTACAATTTTAGGGGGTTGACATATAAGCGAAGACCATTTTTATTTGCTTCTAAAGAAGAAAAAATAGGGAAATAAATAAAGGAGTGAACAGCCAAGGTAAGTTCAAGAAGAATACTGCATTCAATTGACCAGAAATATGGGAATGAAAAAAGAATTTGTCAGAGAACAAAAGAGAGTAAGAAATTGGAGTGATCGGGGAACCACAACTTTCTGTTGTTACCATGAACAACTTTCTGTTGTTACCACATTAATATTATCTCAGACAGAACATCTAACAGAAGAATTTCAGGGTTCAGGGAAGGAAGGAGGAGGTTGAGACAGGTCAGTTTAGGGAGCGAAAGAGTCCGGTGTGACAGAGTCCTGGTGATAAGGACAGGATACCTTGGTTACAACCCAATAACAGCACACACAGGAGGGACCCCAACTGCACACTGTGGACTTCAGCTGATAAGAAGATGTCACACACAGGAGGGACCCCAACTGCACTTACACCTCCTGCAGAGACGGAATGGCAAGGCCTGGCTGACTATAGGTGAGCTGGGCGCCTGCTGGCCCTCAGTGGCCTGACCCCAGTCTCCATCTGCCTGCCCACTTCCCATTGCACAGATAGAGCAACATTGTGTTTTCTCTGTGCATGAGCAGAGCTGGGAAGGCACAGTGGTTTGCTGGGACCCACTGGCCTCCCCTCCCCCCAACCCAATAGTGAGGAGCCCTGGTTGCCCAGCAGCTGTTTGCTTTGGAGACAGAATTTGCCACTGTGTTCCATGCGGTCCACGAGGCCTACAGGACACTGGCAATCAGTGGCTGAACATTGAGAGCCAGAGGGCAGTGATGGAAATGTCTGCCCTGCTGGTCCTGCAGCAGCTGTGGGCTGCCCTGTTACTATTATATGACGGTACAAGACAGGTGCTGGGACTCCTTGAAGTTCCCTGGCAGATCCTGCTTTATGCTGTTCTCCTCGTTTAGACATTAAAGATTGGACAGAGTTTGAGGAGAGGGAAAGAACTTTCAGGAATGTATTCTGTTCTTGAAAAATGCCCTGGGCAAGGCCTGGGGAAAATCCCCCTTTATGTTGTTGGAGGACAACAGTTTTTCCAAAATTAACAGAAAGTGAGAAAGTAACACCAAGTGTACAAAAGTCCCCCCAGAAATTTGTAATGGATGAAAAGAGCTAAGCCTGAGAAATCATTGATTCAAAACAAGAAGTTTTCTGGTTATTTTTTATTTTTCAATTTGTTTTTATTGTTGCATCATAACTATGTTTCTCGAGGGAGGGTAAAGAGGCATGAAAAGAAGATATGAAAGTTTCTGCAAGTGGAGTTCAAATATCCGATTATAATTTGTAGGAAAGTCAGCAACTTTGTGTTGCCACATAGTTCACAACAGCCGATGGGATTCTGCAGAGACAGCAGTGCATTGTCATAGGTGTACAAGCAAAGACGGATGACAGTTTGTTAGATGATGGTGAAGGTATTCCCAATTAAGTGGAAATTGAATGACATGAACATCAAGATCTTTTTTCACCTCAGAGATGCTGTGATTCTCTTTTCAGGAATTCATAGGGAGAGCAAGAAAACCTTTTATTCTTCTTGTTTGAGAAAATTGTGCCTACATTCAGAAGTGCAAGTTGCACTGCCAGTGGTATTTGCATAGTTTTGGGCTGATGTGCCATGGGAACTATCTGTCAGATGTAGTTACAAGAAACATGTGATGCATTAGATTTAATCAAAGGCGATATGTCACAGCTTCTGCCTTGGGAATTTGCTAATGATGATGTGTGTTTTCTTTGTCTTTGAAACCATATGACAAATTTTGGGATCATAGAGTGAAACTTGCTTTCACTTTGATTTTAAACATTAAATGATCTTCACATTTGACCTCCTTCATGTACCAAATATGAAAATATTCAAAACATGAATGGCATCAGAACTTAGAATGAATCTACACATTCGAGGACTCAAGATTCATTCACAACAGAAATCTTGAACAATATACTGGAAAACTCCAAGAATATAATTTATCTTGAACAACTGCAGAATGCGCAGTTGCTAGAGTAACACTATGTATAAGTTTCAGGCATTGTTTCTTTTAGGACAATGTACTCCTATTAATGAACTTGACAAAGTAAAATTATTAAATATTCTAAAATCAAGGTTTGATAATGAGTTACCTGAAAGAGCAGACTTTATTACATTAAAAAGGAGATAATGTATTATCTCTCACTTTTATATATTAGGTCTTGCAAAATAGCTCCTTTTTTAAATAAAGCTTTTGTTTTTTCTTTTTGAAAAAGATTTATTTATTTATGTATACAAGAGCTGGGGTACAGGCCAGAGGTGTGGGAGGTGAGAGGATTCACCAGTGACAGAGTGGGGAACAGAACAGGCAGACTGACTGAAGTACACTGCTGAGGGGAGCAGCAGGCAAGTCAGGAGAGGTCTGCAGCACCATGTGGGCTGCTCCCTGGCAGGCTGGGGGATCAAACTTGTGCTGCAGGGGATAGCTTTTCACAGGCTGAGTCTTAACCTCTTGTGCCACAAGGCAGGCCCTTGCAAAATAGCTCTGAAAGGCTAATGTAAGAGGAAGGACAGCAACTAGGAAAGGGTCCTCTTTGGCATTCCATTTCATGAGGGAGCTTGTTTATCAGGCCTGCTGAACTTGGGCACCAACATGATTTAAGTATCAATTAGATCTTAGGGTAAGTAACTCCATGTGGTGTATCTACCTCTAGACTTCATAAGAATAGCAAACAGATTCCTTAATAAAAGCGAAAATCACAAGATGGTGCAAATTTTTCATACAACTGCTGAATACTTTTGGTAATCACTACTATTCTCTGCCCACTAACTCAGTAGATGAAGCCCATATTTAGGGTTAGATTAGCCTTGTGGGCCCTTGTCTTTCAATAAATTGGTGCCATTTCTCACTCCTATTTTATTTTTATTCACTAATATAACAGATATTTATGGGACACTTTCAGGGGCTGCATGTCCCCCTCACATTCATATATTGAAGTCGTAAGCTCAGAATGTGAGAAGTAATTAAAATTAAATGAGGTCATAAGTGTCAGCCTAATCCAATATGACTGATTATTCTCATAAGAAGACAACAGATATAGGTACACAGAGAAAAGAGCATGTGTAGCAAGAGAGAAGGCAGCCATCTACAAGCCAACGAAAAAGATCTCAGGATGAAAACAGACTTGCAGGTACCTTGATCATAGATCTTAGCTCCACAACTTTGAGGAAATAAATTTCTGTTTAATCACCCAGTCTACAGTAGTTTGTTATGGCAACCCTAGCAAGGGAGTGTAGAGACAGATTAGGTATTACACTGTCATTTAGTTTAGTGCATTTCAGTGTTTAGAAAGTACAAGAATAATCTGAATATTTGTTTAAAATAGAGATTTCTTAACCTCACCATCAAGTTTCTAATTCAAGTTTGATGTGAGGTCTCAAAACATAACATTTGTAACCATCGTCCAGGTGATATGATATTCCTGGGAGGTCCGTATTTTGGGGAGTAGTGTTGCCTTCGTAAATACAAATGCTTTTCAGGAAGGTAATAAACAATCTTTGTCATTGATTGTCTCACTGGTTAACATTTCAGGAATGTTAAAACCCCAATGTTAAGGACATCCATCCTTGAAGCTGACAATGATGGGAGTGTTTACAATCACAGAAATTGCTAAATGCTGTAAGAAAAGACTTTTGTTGCTGGAAAGCCAATTAATGAGTATATTAGATTGCTTTTCAAAAAATACGGAACTAGAGAAAAGTTGAGGGCTTGGGCCTGCAGGGAACCCTCTTACGTGAGAAAGACACTGAGAGTAGAGGCAAAAATAGCCAAACTCTTATTTCAATAA